GATCTGCTGGAGAAGGTAACAACCTTCCTCTCTTATGACACACATCTCATCTGCACCTAGCTGACATCGCCTCTTCTGAAACAGATGTGGGAATACCTAGACCTAGTCCGCATCTACACAAAACCCAAAGGCCAACTCCCCGACTACTCCGCACCCGTCGTCCTAAGAAGGGGCAACAACTCCGTGGAAGACTTCTGTAATTCCATTCACAAAGCCATTTTGAAGGATTTTAAGAACGCGCTGGTGTGGGGTCAATCGGTGAAGCATGTTCCGCAAAAGGTTGGGAAAGATCATATTTTGGCGGATGAAGATGTCGTGCAGATTATTAAGAGGACGTAGATTAGTGGGGTGTAGGTGGGTTGTCAATCAGGGGAAGAAGGGGGAAGATGATTCCTGTAATATATTGTAGTCCATTTTGGAGTAATTTGTATAATTTACATTTATTGTTGCCGGTACATGCTTACAATCAACTAGCTTCGTTCGACGAAGCACTCGTGTGCACCAATTCAAACAGATACACTCGCCTGGATCATCTTCCGCTCGTTGCCAGTCTTGTATGCCCGCGATTCACTCCATTGCCACACCTTGCCACGCAATTTCGACTACACAGACCAGATCATATGCTCACCTTCACTTCACGCAATCGTCAGCTGTTCTCCACCGCGGTAGAGGCCTTAGACGTCTTGCTCGACTGCTAGAATACCTCGCTCCTTCTGGTTTGACCATATCGGAGACGAAGAGCAGACCCCCGGTGGGTCCGGCCTTACGCGGCAAGGACTTGGCTCCAACAGCCGTTCAACCCCAGGTGGGGAGCGAAGGCCGTCGTTTGGCGAACATCGAGTTCTTCCCAAGAAGAGGCAGTCGAGAGCGGTCGCCCTGGCAAGGAAAGACCGAGTTCCTTTGCTACACCCAAATTGATCTAAATCATACAACTATTTACTAAGTAATATCCCAGGCCTAAGAGATCATCCTCGGCACATTCCAACGAGTTGGAAGCTCCTCCGCAGAAGGATAGCCGGTGTATGCTCGGCATGGCAAATTGCCCGCCATTCCACTGGTGCGTTTACCAGTGAGTTGAGCAACACCGCTAGCCAGAATGACCTGTCCTCCAGCGCCTAACAAGGTTTGCTCCTTGAAAAGCTCTTCTCTCGAAGATCGCGAATGCTGCCGGGCGCCGACGCCTTCTCAAAAAGAGAAGTTTATCCTCTGGTCCCACAGGATCAGGTATTCATAATCATGGGCGAAAGACGCACATCCGCTAGCTGAGGACGCCATGTGGCTTTTGGAAGCCCTTGAGAGAGAGAATGATTGTGGATCTGTGGTCAGGACGGAAGCGGTTAGTCGTTGGTTGCAGGATATAGATTCCTGCGTGGCAAGGTGTTGCGTAGTGGATGGATGATGGCAAGGTGCGGCGTTGAAAGCTTGGATGGTCTTCGCGTTTTCTTGAGCGTGGACGCAACCTATATGTAAAGCGGAGAGTCAGAGCGAGTTCGAGAAGTGAGTAAAACTGAAGGATGATTGGTGTGATGGGTGTTACCAATCAACTTTCGTGGACTTGCTCCCTATGTATACTATCCTACATTAGATCGCGCCAATGGCAGATGTGAATGCCATGCGCCAATTGTGTGATGTTAGATCGAGAATGGAGCTGAGAGGGAGAGACTGGGGGATGGCCGGATTTGGACATGGCCAGCCGACGGGAAGTGGCGCGTGGCGCAATCAAGCCACGTGCGTCACCTCGCCGCGTCGTTGGATCGCGACTGGGTGGGCAGGTTGGAACTGTTGGATTCCGCTTTGCTTGTTTTACCCACACAGGCAGCAAAAATTTCAAAATTGTTCCTTCCTAGAATTTTGCAGACAGTAGCTGAGGTGAGCATCGCCTGTCAAAGAGCGTTGGGTAGATAAATCCTCTTCAAGTGGTCCTGAATTCAGTTTGCGCAACTGCATCGCTAAAGCGACGCGTCGACCTTGGAACCAGCAGCATAAATACAAAGAATGTCCAAACCACAAACACCACTATCTCAAATACCCAAGCCGGGACCAATTGAGGAGGACGATGAGTTTGAGGATTTCGGTGTTGAAGGTGAGTTTACCTCTCTTCACCTTCCGAAGTGGAAACATTGGGATCTGAAATGACACGTGGGAACACAAAATAAGACTGGACGGAAGCGGACGAAGACCGAGAAGACGCCTTGTTATGGCAGGATAATTGGGACGACGAGGATCTGGACGATGAGTTCTCACGACAGCTGAGGTTTGGTGGCGTCTGATTCGTGGTGACTTTGGTAAGGTCTCAACATTGGTAGCACGGCCTCTTACAGAGCAGAACTACTCAAGCAAAAAGAACAAGCACCTGCCACGAATGCACCTTCCGCATCCTCCTGAGCCCTATCTGCTCGCTGTGCAACTCGTCGAAAATGTATATACCCCAACAGCGAATATGAAGCCAACACACTCACTTTTTTATCTCCGTGCATCGGACTGGGGCAACATGGTTCGCCTCATGGCTGAGATAGCGAAGCTTTCACCACCTTTCATTGGAGATATGAAGTAAGATTTAAGCACCTTCTCCTTGACAAACCCGGAGTAGTAAAGCGCACCCACATGTACATTGGTAAATCAATCTTTCACCTTCTGGTTATCAAAAGCCATTGGCGGCTGAGGCAAGTACGTCGATGTCTTGAGATGAACGATGAGCTTATTTGAAGTGGGGTGCCCTTATACTTCTTTCGTATGCATACCGTTTGCATACCATCCGTTACTCGATCTCCTTCTTCTGTCTGGTAAAGCAGCGGAAGCTCCGAAGACGGAAGCGGTAGTCGATCGAGAGGCTGAGGTTGCAAAGCATCCGTCACCGCTATCGATCCAGAAGGGTCGGTATGTTGAATAGTAGGTGCGACATCACGAATGCCCATCCGTCGTTCGCGCTCGCTGGGGCTTTCAGTATCCTCTCTCAACTCTAGGTCTGTATGATCCCTCCGCTGCCGCCGCCCCGCCATGATCATCAGGCATCCTAAGTCGAACAACAGTCCGGGCAACCCCAAAATCAAGGATATATGAACCACTAATAATATCCCATCTCCTATCGTATCTGCAGGCGGAAACCAGTAGGCTGTCAGTTGCGAATTCATAATGGTGATCATCAAATGGCTCAAAGGGACCAAAAAAATCAACCAAGGACCAAGGAGTGCAATGCACACGGAGGTTATGCCCCACGCAGCTGACACCTTCCCAGCATTAATTGGCTGCCATATACCCAGCTGGTCAAACACGAACACCGCGAGTAGCCACAATATAGTACACCAATCGAACCATGTGATTTCGTGGCACGATGCACAGATCCAGCTTTCCGTGGCACGAAAACGATATGGATCTTCATTCCTCAATATACATTCGTATGCTGCGTACATTGAAGCACCGAGGGTACCCCAGAACACGATACTCCCGAGCTCACCCGCTAGGATGACGATAACCAGCGTATATGCCATCCAGGTCAGCTCAGCGCAGAATGTGATGAGACGTCGATAGTGATCGGGGCCTTTCGGAAGGAAGGAGTGGTACCATTCTCGATTCAGCGGCTTTTGGAAAATCCTGTGGGCTAGGCGTAGAGTGCGAATTATGCAACCGACAGTGCCCACTACCCCGAAGTAGCCCATAGATCCTGGGGTCAATCCACCGTTGGCAGTCGCTCGTTTGAATATGATGTTGTTGGCAGTTTGGGAAAGCGGTGGGGGGATGATGACCAGGCGTGCAACGAAGAGTACGGTGAGGATCAAACCGATGAGCTGCAAGCTGGGTTTGATGGATTGAGTCATTGTTGTCAAATGGTCAGGTCAATGATGCCTTGGTATGATGGTTAGACAATGACATGTGAAGGAAGTGAAATGGCTCTTATTCTCACCGGCTGAGCCAATATTGAGGATGGTGGCATTGGTGATCGATGGGGAAAGGGAGAACTTCAAAAGTTGCAACTCGCGAATGCCATCATGCAATGTTTCCGAGAAGGACCCCCAGAGGTGTACGGTGGCTGCCTGAGTTTTAGCTTGTTTTGGCGTTTGTGACCCGACTCTGAAAACACAGAAGTCGCAGGCGCCGAGACCGTAGAACGGGCCGTCTATCAGCAATTCGATCATCAGTACTGTTCGCCATGGAAGTTTATAAGGTGGTGTTCATTGCAACCCGGACCAATCATATGCCTAAATATTTACGCAGCGGTATCCAAGAACGGACAGTCATTGCAGCTTCTCGAAGATCTCTGGCCGGTTTCTGTCCAGTAATTATGAAGTTCGAATGTTTATGCCGCTGCACCATCGTCATTATTGTTTTACAGCCTGTTCTACTCTGTACTCCGCTTTCCAATCTTACTGGTTGTTTTCAGCTCCGTGAACTTCAACGCAATGTGCTTAATTTGTCAATTGCACTTTTATGGAACTCCTCACAGGTTGATGTGAACGGAATGGGAACAAACTGAAACTCTCGAGGTGCGCCACAGGTCTTTGGACTGGACCTCCAGCTGGGAGCTCTTCCGCACAATTGCCTTAAGTTTGTGACAGATTGTCTACTTGCGGGTAAATCACACCGTGTGGAGGACATCGACTTCCAAAATTGAAGTATTGGAAACAATCCATTTATATACAGGACGTAAGCCTTTAAATCCTTTCGTACAGCCTTTGATTGTTCTCCTTCATGCATCAACCTATAACATTGAGCTGGTTAGGCTGTCACCGAGCAAAAACATCGATTTTGCCCGCAATCGCTGAGTTGGAATCGGAGGTGCTTGACCCAAAGATCCGACGTTTTCCTTCATGGCGCTTTCGTGGCGCTTAGTGTGTGTCAAACACCAGGAGCGCAAAACGATTGCGCCACCTTTGCATGTACGTAGGTCTGTCCCACAGCAAAACCAAGCGCAACGCAGAGACTCCACGTTCGTCAAAATTTCCATCGCGAAGGACTCCCTCATTGCTCAAGGGGTTGAAAATTACTTTTACAGTACAAAATTACGAGCACGGCAGGGATCGAACCTGCGATCTTCCGCTCCGGAGGCGGACGTATTGTCCACTTTACCACGTGCCCACTCATGTTTTACGTTTATAAAGAACTGCGCACTTATAAGGTTTGAAAGGTATTTCCAGTCTTTGCTGATGGTGGACGGAATGCCGATCAAGAAACACTCTCGGTCTTAATTGCGCCTTCGAGCAGGCTGTATGCAAAACGCATGCCTTTTCAGTGGCGTTTATACGTTCAATATGCCAACGATATGTTAGTTTTCTTTTGAGCAAGAAATATGTTGGGGCAGATGATAGTACCCCTCCAAATGTTGTTTGGCGTACTCTGTGAAGACCCGGATATCTTTGCAAAGACAGAAATTGCATGGATAGATTTAGCCACTAAATGCATACAGAACGTTGATTCTCATTCGAGTTGATCAGCCAACTATAGTAGTAGCTACACCCTTGTATGTGTACCCGCCGAACAATTTTGAGTTCACTTGCAGTGGACGCAGTAACTGGGGTGAACTGGGTGACAACAGCATTCCAAATTTTGCTGCACGACGGGATGAAGCCCACCGACGCAGTCTCTCCCTCATGATTAGGTTGCCATCAGCCACATGCCTGCACAAACTATACTACCTAAAACCCAAACATCTTCGTAATGATTGCCTGCTGCATCGTCGGGTTCAGACCCATGAATTGGTTTGTAAGTCTCCAATCCTGCTCAAACTTGTTCACCCATGTGTAAGTACCTCCAGCCCTTGAATTTGTACCCATCCAATCGTTGCCCCAATTGCCGACTTTCAGATGCGTTGATGTCATTCCAAAGAGCAGATTGGATGGTGTCAGCGTCCCGTTCAATACATCGTGCTTCATGCTGTGTGCAGACGGACAGGATGTACTCATCACGGAAGGTGCTCTCTGGGTCGTCATCGTCGCTGGTAGGAGGTGAATGGCCGACCATGCGCCCCTTGACGTAGGCCTGGATTACAGCGTGGCCAGGACGGAATGTGCCAACAATGACGGAAGGACGGATGAAATGGAAGCACCAGATGATATCGGTGTCGTCGGTGCGAAAGTAAATACGGGTAGTTTGGGTACGAGGGAGGGGATCGGTGGTTTGGAGGGAATTGAAAAGTTCGGCGGAGTCGCGCTCGATGTAGCCAAAGGATTGGCATATGGTTCCAGCGAGTTCTGGATGGTGGGTCTCGAGAGGAGGAGGAGGCGGTATCCGCTGGACCGGAGTGCTTCACAGGATTCGACCCAGAAGAAGACGAGGTATCCGTCGCCGATTCCAGTATCCCTTCTTTGACTTGCTTTCCTGCTTCCCCACTTCCAGAGCCTGGCTCTTCTTCTACAGACTCTTTGTAACTACTGTAGTCTGGTCCTATTTCAAAGTAGTCATACAGACTGGTGAGGTTGACGGCCTTGTCCCAATCAATTTGATGCCTTTTTGCGGCATCGTTAGCATAGTGAAAGTAGGTCCACACTCCCATGTTGAACAGACTTAGGGTGAGCGCTGTGCCAGCGAAGAGTATTCAAAGTGTATATGTGTCAATGGCTATTCATGCTCAGTCATCTACAGCGCCGCTTGCCTTATGTATTTGATTGAACCATTTTTCGAAGAGTGATGGGGACGAGAGAGTTCCCAACGTTTGAAAACAGGCAGGTGCAATCTTTCATACCCGGAAGGGGATATTTTGTGGCGCACCAACAAAGTCCTGCCAGGAACATATGTCAATCTGAGGGATTTGCAGATTTCCGGTCAAGCATTCGATCATGGTGGATCCTTTGTCGTGATGGCGAAGAGAGTTGCGGCAAGTTTCGTCACTGGCCATCAACAACCTTTATCCTCAGCATATGCATGAACTACAGGAATCGTGGTCAGGCGGAGTACAGAATACCTGACCTAATCTCTGCGATCAACAACCTGTCGCTGTGCACACAATATCAAAATGCTCCGAGGTCGTCCACCGGGCCCTACATCAGTCGATTCACTTCGGAGCCCTTCGAAACTCCTTTCAGTTTTCGGCTGCTCCGTGCTCTTTGCGCAAGCTCTTTTACGTTGGTCTGTACGTTAGCCTCCACGCTAAGCTGCGAGCCCTACTTTTTGAATAAGGCCTGTAAATGAGGACTGGACCTGACCATCGAAAATTCATACTGTTCCACACAAATTCAATTGGTAGCCGTGCTCCCACGTGGTTGGGATCTCTTTTATCAACATTGAGTGTCCCCGCCCTGAATTCACCGCCATGAGACCGTCGTGGGATGGCATATTTGTGACGATGCATTTCAGAATCAAGGTAGCCGCGGTGACAAACTAAAAGACTGCCCACATCTTCCCGGGAGTGAAGGGCAGGCTCCCAGCTGCTGTCAAAGATGGTTTGATACTGGGAACCGTTCTGGCAGGATTCTACAAATGCAGCCACAATCATGGGAATGTCATATCTCGTGTAGTTTTGACGTCGACACCTTTCCACCGATAATGAGCAAGAAACATCAGTGCGATGCAATTACACCTGATCGGACTTGCTGTTGTCATGATAAGTTGGGACCGCAAAAATCAATGTCAATCACAAGGTTGCGTGAGATGAGACGAATGAATGTCAGAGTGTCCGAGTCATTGGCTTTCGGTGTGGATGAATGGGGTTGAGAACAAAGTCGTGCCCGACTGAACACTTATTTCATATGATCGCGTCACCAGCAGCCAACGACCCTCGCGTTCCAAGTCCAATACCTTAGAATGAGCAACTTCCATGTATCACTTTCCAAGATAATCATATGATGCCCGACGATCATCATTCACTTCTGCCGTTTGCCGCCGGAGTCTTGACCATGTCCACCATGCCGATGTTCCGTCCGTTAAGCTTCCACGATCCAAAATGTTGCCCTCTGCCTCGATCATTTCGGCCCACTGTATGCCGTCAGCAAAAAATGATACTATGCTCCTATATTCATCAATATCTACAATCAAACACTCCTCCGAAGCGTGTGATACGTTGCCCCCAGCCAGATCTGACCTACAGACCCAGCCGTGAGTCCTATCCACGCAATGATTATTCTACTTATTCCCGATTCAGGAAGCTTCTCCCACCGTCCCGTCTCGAATGCGACCACCGTCATGTACGTCCTCAAAGATGCCATGAAACGCAACCCTCGTTTCCGCACAATAGAACAAATATCTCCCGGGACCCCTCAACTTTAAATCCAAAGGCACATTGATGGGAGCCTCCGCTTCCTCCCCTAGATCGGTCGACGCCTTCCACCTGACTCCTGGCAACTTGATCTCCTTCCCTTCCCCACCATCAGGCGGAAAACTCGTAGCACTGGGTCGCGCTTTCCCAACTTCCGGCCACTCACAGCGTGCTACTTCCTTCCATTCATCCGGCAACGGGCGGGGTCCAACCAAATGCGAAAGCCATATGTTCCCATCAGCTGCAATCCGATGACCGACACAATATAATGTGGCGTGTTTTTGGTTTGGTGTTGAGAAGAAGGATGCGTCTATTCTGCGGAGGGTCTGACCGGCAGAAAGGTCGACGACTGCTACCAGGGGTGGTGGGGCGTAGGTTAGAACAAGACGGTTTACTCGCATTTTCCAAAAGTCTGAAATGCGCTCAACGCGATTTGTTGCGAAGGATGGTTTATAGCGTGGAGGTAGTTCGCCGTTGGCGTACGTGAATATTCGGTTGGGTGTGTGCATTTCTACTCGTATCAGACGGCCTGCGCTAACAACGTCAGAGCCACACTCTCAAATCAATGGTCCCAAATTTGAAAAAACCCCAGCTCACCAGCCATTTCCATCCCGGGCATATCAAAATCATTCCTCAACTCCACCGTCCCCTCCCCACTCAACACATCATCCAACGTAGCCCCCATCCCCAAAAACCCAACCTCATACCTCAAACTCTTCAAAATACTCTCCCTCTTCCACTCAACCTCCACCCCACTCAACACTCCAACAAAATTATCCCCTTCCTCATGCCACCGACTAAAGAGCAAATAATCCTTCCCACTATCAACAAGCTTGAAATAATGTTTCAGCAGCATGTCTAGATGTTCGTCGGGTTGGGTTTGGATAGTCCAGTACCGGCGAGAGGAGGATTTCGGTGATCCCTCGCGGGATGGTCGTGGTTTGATAGAGCTGGTGGGGGAGCGGTTCTGAGCTTGTAGGATTTGGAGGAGATCGATTTGGAGTTCTTGGATTTCGAGGAGGCGTTTCCATTGGTACGAGAGGAGGTGGTCCATTTTGGCGTCGAGATGGCGGACGTGGAGTTCGGTTCGCATCGTTATTTTGCTGATATAGTTCTTTCGGATGTGAATTTTCTCAGTGACGGCATCCGATGTACCTTTTCGATACATATCTACTCACATCTTGAGCTCTGTCTCGTTCCGCTTGTCGATTCTGAGACATCATGATGATGGGTGCTTGTGTAGCCGCGAGAGTGGATAAGAACAAGTTGAGGAGGACAAAGGGATACTAACATAGGTTGGTCAACAGCAGGGTCAATTCTGATGAGAACCCGACCGCAAAACTCACCTCATCCCATGCACTACCGAATTTACCGAGGATCAAATTGATTCTGGATTGATCGAATGATGTACAGTGAGACAAATATCACGAATGAGACCATGCATCGACGTGGAGCAGAGTACCTACATCATCCAAATCGCCAAAAACCCCAACAACCCAATCAAAAACTTCCAAGACCCACCCCACTCAGCAACAAGATCCGCAGACGCCTCCCCCAACGTAGGCTTCTTCTCAAATATATCCTGCCAATGCTCCTCCTCAAGCTCATACTGCGCAGCGTTCTTCATCGCATCTTCCTGCAGACGTGAGAATTGCGAGCGATCCTCCTCCAGGAGGTGCTCAATGCGAGAGGAGAGCACAGCCTGGACGTCTCGAACGCATAGGTAGCCATCCTGGACGTTGAAGTTGCGCGTGGGGAACATCCGTTTGAGGTGGCGCATGAAACGGGGTTTGATCCGTTTGAGGGGGATGATGCCTTCGTCGGATGGGGAGCGGAGGGGTCGTTGGCAGATGACGCAGCCGTGGGAGATGTCTGGGGAATTGGCTCC